GCCCAGTGAAGGACACGCGTGGAATTGCCCGGCGCCTCTGCGCTGGGAAGGATTCCCCCTTTCGGAGGATAATAATCACTCAGAGTATGGAGACACTTATTCGTCTTCCTTGTGAGTGTCGGAGTCAAGTCCGAACAAGATTAAGCTCAGGTTGGCGAGGGAGCAACAGAGGCTGAAGCTGGGATGTTAGATTGGCGAGCTGAACTCGCCTTGAACAGTCGCGCACGCGGCAAATGCTATGTCTCGTAGTGAGAGCCTAAACGCAAACGTAACTCTGAATCGCGTACGCGGCCGAGTCGAAGCCTGACGTTGACGTACACGTAACCGTAAATGTGCGTTGATAATACCGCGTGAGTGACGAATGCTAAGTCTTGTCGAGACGAGAAGCGAATATTCCTCGCATATAGAGTCGCGGATGCGACAACGTAGGAGTCTTGAGTAGACTTAGGCCAGCGATCGGGTGTCGCGAGAGCGCTGTGCCTCTTGCAGGGAAGTAATAGCGAGTGTGCCTCGCGTGAGAGCTGCGACCCTGGCAGCGAAGCAATAGCGAGCTTGGCTCGCGTGAGAGATGAAACGATGACTCGCGCGGAGTCGTGAGCCCGACCGTACTAAGGTCTGTAGGCGCTGATACCCGGTATGCAATACGGGAGATGTCGCGAAGAGGGACGTCCACCGCGGTGGAGGCGTCAAGGTAATCCGAAGTGATCGCGCGAAGCCTTCTCTCAATCCTCGATCGTATTGAGAAGGTGGAGATCCGTGGAGTTACCATACACTTCGTACCACGGATGCCAACGTGTCCTCGGACACTCTAGAGGCAATAGCCCAACGTGCAAACGCACTATAAAGGGCTGCGGAGAGTTGTGTAGAATTGCCGAAGACCTAAACACAAATGCCAACGTGTTTACGACACTCTTAAGGCAGTGAAGATCGATGCAGATATGCAAAAGTATACCTCTGGCGAGGCAAGTGCCCAACCTGCTTGCGCACTCAAGAAGGCGATTTGAAGCTAGCTAGAGCGTAAAAGAATACCTGATGTGCAATCGCAGTCAAAGCTGGCAACAGGCAAAAGGCCACGAGTGGTCTCGCGCGGCGCCTTATATAGGCGCCTAAGCGAACTTTACTCGCGAGTAAAGGCTCCGGGTGACGCCGACGTCGCGTAGCGGCCGCGGAAGAAATCGGCGGCGAGCGCCCGGCGCCCGCGAGTCGGGCGGCTCCTGGTGCTTGGCCGCCCGCTATACCCGTCCTATGCGGGCCTGCAGGCTCCGTACTGAACACACATCATGCTTTATTTTTTGTTCAACAACAAAGCGCCTGACAATTCCCTATGCCGCATATCTGGCTCTCCTGTTGAAAGCGCGACAAGCTCATGTAGAGCGATTTCTCGTCCATGCCGCGCACATCTAGATAACATTTTGCGTAGGTCGCTGCGTCCAGAGTTAATCCTTGAACTTGATACACCGTGGTGGCAGCATGCATGACGAACGGAAACATAAAAATGCGCGCGCCTAAGTCCTCGCCACCGCCGCCTCGGTCACCCCCCTCGTGCCAGCGACTGTGATATTCGTACGGTTTGATTCGCATCTTCCACACGGTGAATTCGAGGCATCGCTCGTCATCGGTGGCTACTCGTACGGATTCGTCGTTTAAGATCCGGATCACGATTATACGAGATCCCACCTGAGCTGGCCAGGAGTCGAGAGCGTGCACGATACGATACCGCAACCCCACGACGACGAATTGTTCATCGGCGAACGCGTCGTCGTGCGAAGTTACGTGATCTATGCCCGAAAGCCGCAACCATAAACCTCGTTCCTCGCAAGTGATATATTTGTCGAACGAGACCTGAG